TTTTTTCAGATTGTATAGAAATTAAGAAAATGTAGTAGAGGAAAACATAATTTTGCAAAAAAAAAATAAAATAAATTATGGCCAAATTAAACTGCCAGTAATTCATAGAAATCATCAGTTCAGTATAAAACCAAAACCAGTTTAGGACATTTTTTTCATGGACAACTCTTTGCAATAGTAGCAGCAGATGGTTGCTCGCCTCACATAATTTTTTAAAAGTTAAATGACAGTTTAGATAGCAAAGCCCCACCCTCATTATTATTATGATAGAGATAGAAATACTTTGAAGTTATGGGACTGCAAATCATATATGAAATTATGCCAAAAATACAAAAATAAAATGGATAAAATCTCAGAAAATACATATTAATACATTTCCAGTAATTTAAAGGCCTTGTGATGGATTGGCAACCGGGTGTAAACCGCCTCTCAACCACAGACAGCTGGCACCAGCACCCCTCGTGACCCCGCTTGGGATAGGCGTGACGGAAAATGGATGGATGGAAGTAATTTAAATGACGTATATAAAACAGTTGTTTTAGCTGGAAAGTTACACCAAATGATATTTTGACAAATTAGATAATTGAAAAAAAAGACAAAATAAGCTTTATTTTCTTAAAAGATCATATTGAGGGCATCTACAGAAGAGGTGTTACTGATATTTTTTTTAATGTATTTAAACACTTTTAAATATATGATTATTCTTTAATTGGAACTGTTTGTGTTTTTTTGGGAAAATATATCAACAACCACATGTTCAAGTATTTTAACTTTGATAAAAAAGTGTTGATCTAAATTTTTCTTGGGGGTGCTAAGGATAGCTATAGCACCCCTTAGTACACACCTGGCACTGCCACTGGTTGACTGAGTTCAAAGTTGAAATGCTTGTTGAAGGTAGGCAGTGTGTGATACAGTGAAAGAGTTATGGGTATAGAGGACCATCTTTTATTTCCGGGTGGATCATCGAAAGGAGTCGTCCTCCTAATTGTCAATCATTCTGGTGATATGTTTACGTAATGCTGTCCCAAGTACTCGCCCCGTTAGCTATCTTTTTCTGCATATGCGCACATTCAGCCGCCTATGTGTGGTGAGCTACGGCTTCAGACAGTCATTGAAGCTCACCTTTCTCACTGCGGTTCTTTAAAAATGGCTGAGGGTCATAAGAGAAAAAGTGTCTACAAAGCGTTTGAGAAGAAAAGATATATCCCAGAATGCTTTGTGCTTTAATAATCCCAGAGGGAAATTACTCGCAAATTACTATGGGATTTGCTGTCACAGCGGCCCGCTTTCACCATAGGCTGTCGCTACCCGACAGTGGCGACTAACAACAAAGATGCAGACGCAGGCACTGCACGGTGGAGGAGGAGTTATGTGACCAGTGGGGCAAAAAGCAGTGATCATCTGTCGGAACGGTCAGTTAACTGAGTTTGCTAAAAAGTCCACTATATAGTCCCCGCTGTATGTGGACATAGTAAACTTGTATGAGCTATGAGAACAGTAGATTTTAAACGAGGCGTGCACGAAAAGAAATGGGCTTGTGCATGCTTTTGCACATGCATTTTTATTTAAAGAGAAGGGGGGGGGTCTTTTAAAAAATCGTCCACAATACCTTCAAGGTTTTTTTTTTTTACAGAGCAAAGTAAAGTATGAAATCTACGCTTCTTGTTGCTCATCTTCCAGCTTCCATCTACCAGCCTGACGTATTAATTTCTATTTACTGAGGTGGGAAAATAAAAATGAGCTCCCGACTTGTTGTGTCTTACCAACTCTGTAGATGAGCTCATCCTCAATTGGGTTCTCCTTTTTCTTGGTAGTGCTGTACATGCTGGAGGGCCGTCGTACGGCTTTCTGACGGATGTGGCCCCCTGTTCCACTGGGGGACTTCACCCTCCTTTTCACGTCGTCCGGAGACTGGGGCACATCTGATGGCTTGACTGCTCGCAGGCGGAAAGGGCTGCCTCGTATGGGCTGACCATACAGCAACAGGCTGAATGAGTACTCTCCTTCAGAGCGTAACGTGTAGCCCACCTCGTATGTCCCGTTCTTGTTGTCTGTTATTTCCGTCTCTGCCGCTCTGTTACCATCAGCTGACAGTATCTCCGCCTTTAAAACAGCATTACCTGTCCGCACCAATTCTCCATCCTATGAACAAAGACAAAATGATAACTGGACATTTTTAAAATAGACAATTTATAAAAGGTGAAAAAAAAAATCAAATCTATAGATAGAAAGATGAAAATTTCTCTGCCAATCTCTAGCTCCTACAACTGTAGCTCCTAATGGCGCTGTTAAACAAAATCAGTTATAATAAAATTAAAGAACATAACAGCGTACTTTGTCTTTTGTTGTCACAGTAATGGTTTTGTGCTGTCCAGTTGCTGCATGTCGGAGTCCCTCTCCAGTGGCCACAGAGGTGTGGGCCACAGCTGATGTTGTGAGGAGAACGCCCAGGTTCTGGATGGAGCGCCGCAGCCCTTCCGTCTCCACCTGAAGGACAGAGGCTGCTTTAAACACTGCTTAGGGGTTACAACCAGTTCCTGCTGGTGGTTAAATGGAAATCTCTTCAGAATGTGGAAATGTCAGTCATGATGAACGCAGTTGGCATCATACCACAAAGCAGTCAGTACCTGACAGTCTAGATGCGCGTTCTGATGGGGTTTTTCTGGAAAGTCGTGTCTGGCCAAAGCTGTGACCCGCTCACTCATCTGTTTCTGAACCAGCAGCACCTACAACACAGCAGCTTCTTTTATATTCGACACATTCGTCTTTTTAAATCATTCACATCCAATACTGTAGCTGATTTCTTTGGATTCCCTGATGTGTTACTCTATAGTTAGCAAGCAAATAATATTTTGTAGGCCCACCTCGGTTGCATTCCCATGGCTGAGAGCCTGCTCTGTGAAGCTGCAGCTGCTCTGGATGTGCTCCTTCCCCTGGAGAAGGGAGGAGAGCTGGGTATGTAGGACCTGCATTCATGCAGGTGGAACAAAAGGGACAGCAAACAGAAAATTATAGCCAATTGATAATACACAAAGCAGCAGGATGGGGGAGCAAAAACATAAAATAATAACTCTATATGTATAATTGTATTAAACAGACCTTTTGCTTGCTGCTGCAGATGTTCTCCAGGTCTGTGATGAGGGCGGTCTTGCGATGATGCAGCAGTCGCTCCAATTCTTCAAATGTGCTGTTGATCTCCGCTACTGCCTCAGTTTTCCTTTCATTTAGCTGTCGGGAGATCTCACTCACCAGCTCAATGGCTGCAGTCAGCTGAGGAAGCCTGGGAGACCACCAGAAAAAAGGTTTTCATCAAGACTTTTGGAAACATACAAGTATGATACCAACATGATCTATAAAATACGTAATAAAATAAAACCAAGTTTCTTTTAAAGGATTAGAATCAGCTAGAAATGTGTGAGGATTGTAACTTCTGTATGAACTGGGACATCTAAAATCCCCTCCAAAGATCAAGTTCCAACCTGCTGTGAATGGCATCAAGCTGAGTTTTTAGAGCAGCTTTGTGCTGCTCCACTACATCCCGCAGAGGAACAGTCATATGATCTCCATGCTCTCCCTCTGTGCAGTCCAGACACATGGCTGTCTCACAGGACTCGCAGTAGAACTCCATCACCTGCAGGTGGAGCAAAAACAAGATCATCAACTCTTACCATGCATAGCAGGACATTCAATTTTCATTTTTCTCTCTTTTACTTTATTTGAAGCAACAAATAAGAAAAATAAAATTGGGGAAGTGAGGTTACAGAAGAAGTTTTCCCACCTTTCCCTCGTGGTTTGGGCAGCAAAGGGGCTTCCCTGCTGCTGCAGCACTGACCGACTCCAACACGCTGCATGCCTCAGGCCGTGAACACTCTGGCTCACGCTGGAGAACCTACACAACACATAACCATACTCATTATAGGTTTATTTCAACACATATGTTTGTTAATAGCCCATTACTTTTAAATCACTGTGTTTTAAAATTCCAGACTGTTTAAATCAGTTTAATATTTCTTTTTAATCCAGAACATAAACATTCACTTATCAAACTTCCAGCCACTGCTGATTTAATTCCCATGTGTCCTTAAAAAACTTTTAGAGATTAAGTGTGCAGGATGACCTCAGTCAGGAAGAGCCCCAACTGCACACACACTTTCCTCTCACTAAGCCATTCTTATAAAATCCAGCTTAAAAAAATCTAATTTGTTCTAATCTTCCAATGCTATGTATAATTAATAGTTTAAAAAATATATATACATGATGTTTTGGATTACACGTGTGTAGATTTTAATATAGACATTATTTCTGTTATCAGAAAAATGTAATACAGGGTCAGACCTCCATGAGATTAGTGATGAAGAAGTTGTTCTGCAGAGCGCACACTCCTTTCTCGGGCAGAATGGATGTTTGCCGGCACACGGGGCACGAGAGTGTTAGAGACTCTGCCGGAATGTAATTCTGGAGACAGCTACAAACAGGAAGTGAACAAGTACATAACAGGATACAGCATGGAGTTTAAAAGATATGTTACGCATTGTTCCCTGAAAACATTGAAAGGTGCTTTCATTAAGGAGGATTACAGAAATGAAAGCTAAGGAGCCTTTACTGTAACTCTATCACCATCAATGGGATACAATACCTGAGTCGTACAACAAGATTGAAGTGTGGATGAACACATGCTCTATGGAGTGTTTGTTGATAAAATCTCAGTTTGTCTATTGCTCCTGCCGAATCTAGCAGGTGTCACATCATGTTTGAGACTGTAGGCTGGCCGGCCAAACACACTTTGAAATGTCGATATCTTGTGCTGGCTGTTTGATGACCCTAAAGATGACACTTTTGCTGCAGTTTTTCAGCGATAAAAATTTGGATTTTTCTTTTTATCTTTAAATGCATATCCATCTTGTACATAGTGCATAGCCGTATAACAGGCTCCCTACTGGTTAAAACTAAGGGCACTCTTTTATGTTGTATCTATACCACAAAGGTCACAGAAACCCTGAGGAAAATTTTAAAATGTAAACTGATAATGGACAATTATTAAGGTAAAGTTAGTGTGAAGGGATTGGTAGAGGCACTGGCATTCTCACCATGGGAATTTTGTTCAAATATAACTATATTCAAAACAAATCTATAGACTAAAGTCTAAACTCTTCCATTAGACCTGTATATGAGGATCTACAGAATAGAATAGAAAAATAGAAATATAAGGTTTTTTTGATTGGGTTGGCCAACCCCAAAATAAAGTGTTCAGTCAGTGGCAACATATGAAGTGAAATACAGATTTTCTGATGTCCATCTGCTTTAACACCTTCAATTATATACTCAGAAATATCCAGCCATTATACTAACATGAACATGTTATGGGACTAAATGTGTGACTCAACCACAGAACAAAAGCAAAAGACATTCTAAGGACATTGATTGAAGCTGAGTGCCATTATCCAGTGTAAACTACGCCAGTGCCAACACTGTGTAAAAGGCACTTAGAGAGGAAGAAGTCATCACTCCAGTAGTAACATAAAATTCAAATTACACCACTCTGTGTATTCATGTACAGAGAGCCTTATATTTGAAGATAACTTCTATTATTTGATTAAACTGAAATTTAAGTTTTCGGTAATAAAGGACCATCAGAGCTTGCAAAAATAGTCAGATGCTTACAAGGCTGAGGAAACTATCCCAGTTGTTAAGTTGGTGATGTTGTGGTGATGTTTGGTCTCAGAAGGGACAGGTCTACTTCAGAAATGAAGGGAGGAAAGTAAAAGCATTGGCCTAAATGAGTGAACAATTATATGAACAATAATACTTATTAAATACTATTAAATACTATTAAATTAGATATTTGGGGCTCTTGCAGAAATATTCTCAAACAATTTTGGTCCACCCATTCATTCTAAGCTACCTAAACTCTCTACTTATCCTGGAATTGAGCAAATGTTGATAGGACTAGTAATCCTAACTGATACAGTGTGCAGTGTTTGGAGGAACGGTATTTCATAATAACGGTATCAGAAGCAGCGTTTTTATTTTAATTGGAAGTCATCTAATGAATTACTTTTTACATATTTACATATTGATGTTACTTCCAATCTGATGCAGAACCTTACTTTAATAATTCTATACAAAGTATATTTTATTTTTGTTAAACTACTATAAAAAGCTATACATGCAGGTTACCTTTCACAAAAAGTGTGCAGACAGGGCAGGACCTTGGGGTTATGGTAGTGATCCAAACAGATGCTGCAAACCAGGAACTGCTTGTCTATTTGACGGACCACGGGGCTGGTGCTCCCAGTGTCCCGCTTGGCCATGACAATGGACATCTAAAGCCACAGACAATGACAGCGGTCAACCTGTAGGGGGAAGAACAAAAAATAATGAAGTTAATCAAGATGCTGACATTCCTAGATGTCAAAAGTTGGTCTATAATGAAACAACATTTTTTTTCTCTTTTATGTGTTATCAGAAAATAGGTATCCACAGTTTAGAAAAAAAAGGGTAAAAAGAAAAAGGAAAGCAAAATTTGTAAATAAATACTATGAAAGCTGATAAAAGCATGGATACAAGTGACAATACAATCAAAACTAGAGCAGGAAACACAACTAGAAGAATATCATCATTGTAAAAAAGGAAAAAAAAGCTGCAGGTAGAGTAGGAGAATTTGAAGTCAAATTGCCTGAAGCCAAACATTAAAATAACATTGTTTTGCATTTTACTGGAGTTTGCAAATGCAACCATTTGAAACCGGAAAATCCAACTTAAGTAGCACCTGTGTGTAATCCAAGCACTGTGTCATGTTTGGAAGTGACACCATCCAAATCCAGACATAGTCATTAAACTCTCATAACTCACAGTAAGGGAAAACTATCCACCCGTGACAAACAGCAATGGCTGCTATAATTGGAACAATATTATAACTGTTTCTGCTAAACATACTAGAAAAAAGACAGCAGCTTATCATAAACACAAATGTTACATAACTATGCTAGTAAAGCTTAGGGGAAATAGACCAACATTCCTTGAAAGTGTTATTTACATTTAGTACATTTAGTACGGCATCTAACCAGATTTTTCTGTTTTTCGCTTTAAATATTCATATTTTACAAATAATATAGAAATTCTAGGCAATTACAAAAAATATATATGTATTTTTTAATTACGCTTTAAACCTGTGCTGTTTTAAAAGTATTCAACATTTTTCAGACCTTCCACGTTTTTGCTGTAAAACCTTCCAATGCCTTTTAGCATACACTCCTGGTACAGTATACTGAATATCTTAATTAAAATCCGTAATGCAAGAAAATATTTGGCCTGATGTATTGCAAATCCCCCCCACCAAAAAAAAAAAAAATCTAATGCTGCATAAATGAAATGGTTTCTAAACCCCTGCGGTAAGCAGAGCCAAGGAGCCACAAGCTTTACATAATCTGATCTAGAGAAACAGAGCTGGGTATTCTGCCTAGCAACAAAAACCAGCCTCGTCCAAAAATGGCCCACTTCCATGCTCATCTTTGCAAGCACATTACTCCTGAGAAAGTATTTAAGAAGGAGCAAGTGCATTGTTGTTTTTAAACACATGGGTTATATAAATAACATAATCAATGAAACAAAATTATCTTATATTGCATGCATTGTTACTTCAGTTAACTCTTAGCTGTTTAACCTGTGCATATCAGTTGCATGTCATAGTTTCCAACTGGCTCCAGTAATTTGAATAAGTCATATTTTCTTGTTAGGTGTGTATTATCTGTGTCAAAAATGTTGTGTATTTCATTGCACAAAAAAGCAGAAAGCTGTATGAGTCTGTAGCAAGTATCTATTGAACATAAAAAGAGAAACACTATAGTTATGACTACAGTAAAGTATAGTAAAAACAACATTTAAGTTTAAGCTTTAAGGATAACTTAGTTCATCAGCACCCACCTGCCTCTGGTTCTCTCTTTACATCTGCAAACTTGAATCCAATGCATCCCTCTAATCCCTCATATCTAATCTGTTCTGATGCCCAATTGTTACACGCAAACATGCAATCTGAGTGATTAAGGGTCTGTTTATTTCCAGTCATTGCAAAGAGGATCCAATGACATCCCCTCTTTATATTGGATGTTAAATGTCATGTATGTAGCTCTTAACCATAAGAAAATATCACTTTCACCCTGTGGTGATGTTGGGCACACACCAAACTTTTAGTAGTAAATAGCTTACATTTCTCTAGGGACATGTGAATGTACAGTATGGGGCTATGTTGGTTTTAAACTACAAGTGAAAATGTTTATGTCCACCCTTAATCAATGAGACATCAATAGGATTACAGCACAGTGAGGATTGTTTGCTGTTTTACCGATTTGTTCTGTTATTTTGGGGGGATTTTTTGTCAAACGTAAATGTGTCATCGAACAAATTAGAAGATAATCTAAATACAAAATGAGCTTTTCAAACAACAATTTCATTTTACAAAAAAGTCATCCAATCAGTAAAACAGCACCAGGTACTACCAACAGCCTATCAACAATCCAGTGAATAAATACAGATCAGTGGCTGAGACCTCATAAAAAAAAACACTGTAAAACTTGATCAAACTTTCTGCTAAAACAATTTGAGAAAAACTCAAAACGGAAACTTGGGTGCTAGGTTTATCCAGATCAACAGCAATAATATTATATCAATTACATTAATACAGCACTTAATAACTGAAGAGAGGATTTGTTTCTAAAAAAATAATGCAATCTCAACTTAATACATTTTCATTTAATCTGTCTGGTTTTATTGGCACTGGAGGCTAAACACATAAATGCCACTTTCATTTTAACTTAATCTTAAAATGTTTGAGTCATGCATGAAAATGCATGATAAAATAAATGTTGCTCCAGTTATATCAAACAGCTGAAAAACATCTAAAAACAGATGAATAGGGGAAAAAAAAAAAAAACATGCAATACTTTTTGTTTTGTATTGGTGAAGAAGTGACAACAATCCTCTTCTAGATGTGTTTTAAATGCAGTCAGAAAAGTGTAAATATCTCTGTGCATTTATCCATGCCCAGTTAAACTCCAAAGTGGGGCACAATTGTTTGATTTGAAGCTCTTAAGTAACCATGACCGGCTGAGTGTCAGGCTCTGAAATGATTGAAGGGGTAGAGATTTGAGTTTAGACTCTAGAGTCCAAACAGTGGGGAAGCGTGATGCAAAGCTCCCACAAGAAGGAAGCTTAAAAAAACCAAATGTATTTATAAAAGGAGGGATCTTTCAGGGAGCTGTCAACTGATATAATAAAAATGGTGAGTGTTTTATTCCCCGGGGTATGATGCTCACCGGGAAACAGCAGCAATGTTGCAGGTGACCTCAGTACTGAATAATTCAACAAAACTTTCAGGATTAGACTGCATGTGCGTGTGTGTGTGTGTGTGTGTTTATGGGAGTGTATTCCAGTGCTTGTGTCCAGCATTTGGTTTGCGTGGAACAAAAAGCTAACACCCAGGCACACAATGCCACCATTCTCTGTCGGCTTTAGAATACAAAAGTAGCTCATTTTCCATTTGAGATCTAAAACCTCTGCTCTTGTATTAATGCAAGAGTACGGTTCTCAGAATCCATACACACTTGTCTTTATCATCTATACGTGGAAAGATAGACACAGGAAGTTTAATTTTAAACTGGCATTTCAACAACAGATCATACAAGAGGGTCAGAGAGTGAATACAAAGCATCTCGCCTTCTGCTTCTGGTCACTGTGATGCACCTGTGCAATGCCAGCAAATGTGGGCTGACAGCTTGGGCAAACACCAATCAGAAGACTCTAAAGTCACACAAGCAGGCAACATACATATAAGGCTAAACAGAGACAGAGTTGACAGAGTAACTACCTACTGTCAGCAGAGAGGACAACAACCGTCTAGAAGGCTTCATAGCTGGTCTGTGTGAATTTTGTTGTGACTCACACGTTACTGCTCACTCCTCATCTCTTCTGACTCGTTTCCTTTTCCTTCCCGTGCTTTTCCTATTTCCATATAAAATCACACACACATTGAATAAGGCTGAACCCAGATGACAACAGAGGGAGGGGCTGGGATTTTGAACAGGCCCTCCTACTGTAAGAGCCGTGCACAAGCATGAGCTGACTGGGTACCCTCCTACTGCCGCTCTCTGATTGGCTGGGGAACCAAGGCTAGTGGGGATGACAGATTGCATCATAGGGCAACAATTTGTGCTGGCGAGAGGGAGTGAGAGGTGGAGACAAAAAGAGAAACATTTCCAGTCTGAGCATAGATGTTAACCCGCTGCTTTATGATTAAATGAGAAGTCTATAGCATCTGGACGGATCTAATTATTGAACTAAGCTTAATTTTTTATATGAATTTCACCTCCAGATTTGTTATTTGTTTGTTTTTTGAAGAAAAAAATATCACCCCTTCACTTGCCAGGCACATAATCAGGAGCATGACCTAACAGAGACTACTGTAGGACGCAAAATAAAGGTAGTGTCATAGATTTACCTCTTTTGCCATAAAAAAAATAATCTGGAACAACCCTGAGAGCTAAAGCTAAAGATCCTGGTAAACGTTCCAGATCCCTTTTACTTTTTCACAGTTTGACATTTTACAACTACAAACACAATCTCCTTTAACTATTACCACAATGGTTTCAAACTCCACTTTATACCGGTTGGATCAATGTCCAACATGCCTAATATGTGCCTCTGCCCCGACGCCACCAAGCTAAATGGTTTAATTGGCTACTTGGCGAGCCATCCAAATTGGAGCCCTGATAACGAATTATTTATCTGGTTCAAGTGTGTTGAACCAGGAAAAAACACAGGACAGCAGCTCTTAAGTCTGAAGGTAGACTTCACTACTTTATTGCATAGATCTGTTTTTCTCAATAGGTTTCATCTGCGGCTCTTTGGTGTCCTCTAGCTTTGCTTATCAAGTTCATTCGGATTGAATGGAGAGCATCAATTAATTTGGGGCTTTGACTTGGCCATTCTAAAATGTAAATGTGCTTTGATTTAAACCATTTTAGTGTAGCTTCGACTATCTTTGCTTTTTCCATTTTCCTTTTATTGTTTGCCTGTATTTACCGTAGCCTTTCTTCTTTAAGGAAATGTAAGGCACAATCCTGATTTATTTTGCATGTGAGCCAATAAGTTCAATTTCAAAGTCCTTTTGCCTTCTTTACAATTTTATGTGGAGATATGTCACAAAATGTGACTGAATTTCATGATTGGTACTAAACTAAATGAGACTGAATAGAATTGCAAGACACATTTTTAGAGATGCATTTATTGATATGTTCTAAAGCCATATTTCTTCTTCTTTTTTCCTCAGTCATTCTTAATATTTTATTGGTTAATCATT